TATGTAATACAATTGTTTCCTCAAGTGACTAATAAATCACATGATAAGAATGAAGCCCTTTAATTCCACTACTCTACCGGTGCTTTACAAACGCAGTGTCATGGAGGTTTTAAGTAACTGCAAGATTGTGTTCCCAGGCTGCCTGAGATCGAAAACCTAACGGGAATTGACATGTTTTGAAGCAAACGTGCTTTTACTTATCACTGCTTTTAGGTATCGTGTTCATAAATGCGAGTTCTGATCTTTCAAAAGCTTTCACACTTTTGTAACTTCCGCTGGGAACAAATACATGGAAAATCCAATACTCAGAAGATTTCCCTGGTACAAGTATTTCTGGCTGAGGTGAGGTTAGCCATTTGGTCTGTATTTAGCCTCGGAAAAGTTTTCCTGCTCTTCTAACTTCTAAAAAGGGAGGGAGGAGGTTAACTGAACGAAAAAGTTTGAAGAAAATGCAATTACTGTATTTTATCTGAGATACAACATGCTGAAAATAATTATAAAGCTATGAAAATAGTAAGCTAAAAATAAAAGCTGAACTATGACCTGACAGGTAGGTTACATTTTCTTCAGTTACCTGTACACAGCTCTCAGTCAGTGGCTGCTACGTACAAATCTTTTTTTTGGAGGAGGTTTGCAGTAAATAAGAGAATGCTCTCTACTTCAGGAATAACCAGGCAAAATCCACCTCCTGTCTTCTCTAGGAATTCATGCTAGATGATGACAGGGTTATCTTAACATCTACATATCCCTGAAGGAAATTCCACTGACACAGAAGTAGCACAGTAAGTAAGCTATAACCGGTACCTTTTCTGGCTTGCTGGAGATACTTGGCCAACAAAGTGCCGATGTTAGCTCTCAGGTCAATGCTTCCATCCAGCCGCGGCACAGATTTCAGCGGGCCAGCAGACGAAGGGGCACGGACATGCCGGTGATGTTCTGTCAAGCTCTGCTCAAGCTCAGCAGCCAGTGGATTCCCATTGTGCGAGCCCACAGTTTGCTGTCCGAAAGAGCTCGCTGAGAGCACCGCAAGGAACACACAGATGCATATACCGCTGTACATTGCTGGAGAGAAAAGGAATGATAGGCTGTTAAAATGACCAGATTTACTATGTTGTATGTTGTCCCTACCCCCATCTTCCATTGGGGGTGCTGGTTTCTGAGCAAACTAGGGTTGTGGGTTTTTTTGGTTTTAATGCAGGTTAACTGTGGGATCTGCTTAAGTTGGAAAACACGTACGTGAATAGTTAAATAACTGTTGGTAGGAGGAAGATACGTTGGAAGGAATGAAACTAATTCACTGTAGTACATCTCCCTGATCTACTCAATTCATATTTGCTTTGCTTCTTTGGAAGCTGTGTTTCATTACAACGTAAGGGAGATGTATCCAGCTCTGCAAAAAATCTCAGGATTCAAACACTACCGTATTTTGCTGTTGTACTAAAATCTGCTGTTATTACAAATACTCAATTTTGACAAGTTCTCTGAAGAACCTTTACTGTATCAACCCTTCACCGGTTTGAACTTTAGTGTTCAAGAGCTTTCACCTTGTCATGCACAGAAAGAAAAAACAAAAGCTTGTCCTAAGGAAAGAAAAAACCAAAATCTAACACCCCCTCTCACGCATTTGATCTAAAAGCTGAGGCGGTAAAAGCTGTTTAGTTAAAAGCTGTAAGAAATAATGTACAACTTAACAATATTCTTCTTCATATAAGGCAGAGAATTCAAGCATAACAATTTTTTTACTGCTTCCTTAAACAAGTATTAGACAAAACGATGTCATTTTGCTAGATTGTTTGATCATATAAGCTGAAATAGTATTTTTCTGGAAACACAAATTATCTCAGTTATTAGGAAAAACAAGGTACCTCGTACTTAATGCTATGGGGTAATTTCCATTTATAAATATACAGGACTTATCTCATCTGTATGAGAATTTTTGAATCATTTAAGTTTTTGAACAGTATACTGAACATCATCTTTTAATTTTAGAAGAGGAGAAAATTAAGTTTATTTGCCCACCACATACACCCGATGGAAAACATTTGCGCCGCACAAAATATGGGTTTTTTTTAGTATTGTTCGGAGATGGATGCAAAATGTCAAAATGTCACTCCAGCACGGCCATTAGCGATGTACCACGTAGGTTTTGGTACTCGGAAACCAAAGGTGCGTCGCATCCTTTCCACAGAGAGATCTTTGCAACCGACCCGAACCCCCTATTTTTCACGCCTATTCACGTACACGCCCACGACCCCAACCACCACACCTCGTCCCGGGCAGCTGTTTCGTTCACAGCGTGCCCGTT